CTGTACAGGTTGTGGAACCATGAGCGAATTCAACCTCTTTTCTTTATAAATTACCCAGTCTTGTAGTTCTTTGTAGCAGTTGAGAACATACTATACAGGGGCATTCTCACAGATTGGGTGGTCTTCACTATGTCCAAAGGACAAAGAGGAGGTTGCAGGTTTTGCACAAAGGAATGTATTGTTGGCCTAGGATGTTCATTGTCACTTTTAAGGTTATGGGAACTGGTAGGCTCTGACTGGTGAGTGACCTTGGTGGGTAAAATTAGTCTTAGAGTTGTAGTAGCTTGTTTCAGTAGCCACAGATAAAACTGGTTTCAGGCAACAACAGGCAGTCTCAGCAGCCAGGCTTGCAGACCATTACATTCTTGAGCAATGTCTTGTGCCTTGAATGGTTTTCTCCTCTGGCCTCAACTCTGTTTAAGTTGGGTGTGACAAAAACGACCCGATTTGTATGATCGACTTCCACACAAGTCGCTCCCCTCTCAGCTGTGAGAACATATACCTGCTTGGATTTTGTGTTTTTACGGATCCCAAATGGGGTCATGACAAGCAGCATTTATTGAGCATTAATGTGTGCAGGCCCCCTCCTGAGCTTCCTAAGCTCCTATCAATTCTCACGCCACTTCTATCCTGTGAGGCATAATGTAATGATAAACTGTCATTCTCTCAATTTCATGGCTGAGGACACCACGGCACAAAATGGTCACATAACTGCCCAAGGTCAGCAGCGAGGAGCCGCAAGGCAGGATCTGAATCCCAGACATCTGGGTCTAGAGCCTGGGCCTGTCTCTACTGTGCCACACTTTCTCCAGTTGTTGATAGGGGCTGGGCTGAGTCGCCTCTTCTTGGTCACGTCCACTGAAAGCTGATCTGCACCCCACGCTGACTGCCCCATCCCTGAGGCAGCTCTAGAGCCTGGGTGGATTTGGGATGTGAGCAAAGGACAGGAACAGGGCCCCATGTATCTGGACACCACTGGACTCTGCATTTAGTAAGGAACAGAGGGTCGGAAAAATGGACCATTCTCAGCATTTTTTCATCCTGCAGTTTGCTTCACGGGGGTGGAAATCATCCATGTAACAACTCCCATTACAGAGAGCCCTGCAGGGGGAGTGTCCAGTGCACCCTGAGCTTGGAGTGGTCTTCCAGTATCTTTACCGCTTCCTTAGGATCCTGGGGAACCTGAGAAGAGGGAGATAGTCTCCCTGCCCTTTGCTCTGCAGCCACGAGCACACCTTGGCCCTTACTGCCATGACCACAGCTAGTAGTTATGAAGCACTTAAGAGCATCTGCTATGAGCAAGCTGCTTCCACACGTGGCCTCGATTCATCCTCACTGCAGCGAGGGGTCCTAATTCTGCCTTCCAAGGGAACTGCAGCTGAATTTGGGTTTGGCGAGTAAACCCAGCATTGTACCCAGATGGCAGAGCTCCAATGTGGCTCAGGTCGCTGGCCCTGCAACCTCACACTCCCATCCCCTAACTGAAGACTGAAGACCCCAAACCTATTACTTTAGAGATAGAGATAACCTTTGTCTTGCTTCTCAAACTTTGGCATGCATGTGAATCCGGTGCAGACCTTGTTTTTAAACAAGAAAGTCCTGGGCTCCACACAGAGACTCTGATTCAGTTTAGCTAGGTCAGGGCCCGGGAGTCTGCATTCTTGACAGCTCTGGGTGTGCTGCTGCTAGGAGGGTTCAGGGGCCTGTGCAAGATCCACAGGGGGTTTGTGGGAGCCCAGGCAGATGCTCGGGATTCAGGCTCAGTGGGGTCAGGCAGGCTGTGTGGGACCTGCGGCTCCAGCTGCCTGCTCTTGGAAAGGCTGTGGCAGCCCCATGTTGTCCTCTCCTGTTCTGCGCATTTGCTCCTGGAGTTCCAGCTGCTTCAGGTGCTGGTTGTGGACGCCACAGGGTGGAACCGTGGGCATCAGAAACTCCCGCAGGCCCCCCTTCCTCCACATGTCAGCACCTGACTGGCATCTGCCTGCCCTGGGGGCTTCTCAGGCCTGCAGGTGGTTGACTTTGTATTCCGCCCAGAGTTTTTATCTACTGGAAGGTCGATCTGAGAGTTTACTTGGCTTTCACCAGCAGTGAAACCCACATGAGGTCTTTGGATGTAGGGATGCTGCCACACAGTGGAGGAAACGCCGTGATTTTCCATGCTATAATGTGCCATCCAGTTCCTGTGCCTCGCTGGGTCCTCCCCCATTTCTCACCCACCTCCACCTCCTCTCCTTCCTACACGTCACCCCCCCCATTTCCAGCCCTGCTTTGGGTGTCCATCCCCCCACATGGGGGCAGGGCCCTGGCCAGGGTCCTCCAATCTGGACCTCAACCTGAGCACTCGTCAGGTGGCCCCAGACGAGGACCTCCACCCCGGGATGCCCGAGTCTGGGGGACCCTACTTCTCATGCCATTTGGTCATAAAATGTGGCATTGTGGCCAAATGACTGCTTGAAGTATTTTGCTCCCCAAATGTGCCAAGTCCTAACTGAGTCAGGACCCCAACGGAGCCCTATCACCTACCCAGACCTCGTGAGACTCCCATGAACGGCCCAGAGTTTGGCACAGGTTGAGGCCAGTGCCCTCCCCTCTAAACCCCTGCCAAGCCTGCAGCTCACTCAAGCCCACGCTTAAGACCCTGCTTACCCCCTCTCTTGGGGTCCCCTGCTCTTCACCAGCCAGCCCGGCTCCTCACACAGATGCTGCTCAGGCCCCAGGGAGTGGGAGGCATCCCAGAGATTAGCCTTTGTTGGCTCAATGAACCTCTCAGCACAGCCTGCTGGTGGGTGAGAGCCCAGTAAGGGTGGAAAAGAGAACCTGCACCTGCCCAAGAGGGCAGGAGACAGCTCCTGTGGCCGGAGACAGCGGGGGCCCTGGCTGTTGGAAAGAAAGGTGTTTCTTCAAGGAGAGGAGGCGACCCCAGTGTGTCCTCATTGACATGGCTGGACCAGGCACCTGTAGCCATTCGGGTTGACCAAAGGCATGCAGGGAATGGGTGTTTGTTTTGGGCACTCCCAGAGACGTGAGACATTTGGAATTGTTAGGATGTTTCCGTCTGTTGCAGGGCATCTGTGGGGCTGGGGGTGTCCGTGCAGCAAGGGTGGGCGGCTGAGATCAGTCTACACCCTGGGCCTGCTGGAGTGGTTTACACCCAGGGCCACATTTCGAGCCACGATGTTCCTGTTGTGAGAGGACAACAGAAGGGCGGCATCTGGGGTCCCGCTGACCCTTGCACTCCTGGGAGCGGATTCTGTGAACCTCTCAGGCCCATCTACCCCTGTGAGGACCACCTCCACAGGGGAAGCTGTGGCCGCCACAATCGCGAAGGTCGGGAGGGGTGCCCGTCCGGGTCCTCGAGTCTTGAGAAACTCGGGGCTCTTCGGAAGGAAGCCGGATCACAGAGGACAGGAGCCCTCCGGCTTCTGACCCCCAGGAGGCATTCCCCGAAGGCTGCATGGTTGCGGCGGCGGCGGCGGCTGCTGCTGCTGCTGCTGCTGCAGCTGCAGCTGTGTGTGGGCCCTTCCCGGTGCCTTGCCTCTCACCCCATCCCGAGGACTGGCTGCCTGGAAGCTCCAGGGATGCTGGGAAGAGAATGGTGGGTGCCAGGCATCTAGGAATCCTGGGGAATTGCGGGCAGCTCAGAGGGTGTGGCTGGCGAGGGCCTCCATCTCCACCTCCCTGTAAAGGCTGGAGGTGGGGCTGCTATGAGTTGAATGGGTCCAGCAAGCCCACCTGACAGGCTCAGCACCTGCCTGCAGGGGGGATGCAGGGGAGGCCCCCTAGGCTTCCTGGGGGAGGAGGTCACAGGAGGGGAGGCCCTGCAGGCCGGCTTCACTCACAGGGCTGGAGACGTTTTTTCTCTATCCAAATACATTTTCCCAGAAAATATAATTAAGCTGCCAAAATTACTCCACGCAGATAAGATGAAGAGCACCACAAAACGGAATGGAGCAGTTGGCTTTATCTTTAAAAAAATCTGGAGAACCCAGAATGGCTTCAGCGTACAGCCCGGGAGACAGCCCTGAGGTCTGGCAGGAAGACGGCTTCCTGCTGCGACGATCTGCCCCCGACTGGGCAGCCCTCCTCATGCTGGGGGGCCTGCGGGGTGGGCCTGCCTTCTCTCCCGTGGTTTCCTGGGGATGTTTTCAGCGCAACTAGGGTGGGGCGACCCCCGGTACCCCTGTGTCCAGCAGCTCCCCGTTGTGGGGGGGACTCAGGCCCAGGGGAGGGAAACGGGTGGTGAAGCCTCCAGGACCCTGCCCCTCTAAGGGTCCTCGGGCCTAGGCCAGCTCCCCCAGGCTCCACTGAGGACCCCAGCCTCTCCTGAGGACCCGAGCCTCGTCCTCTGCTTCCTGCTGTCCGTGGGGAGAAGGAGGCTTGGGGAGAAAGGCCAATGGGCTTTGGAGCCAGCCATGTCTGGATTTGAATCCAGGATGCCTCATTTTCTAATGGGTGACACTGTGGTGACACTGGCAGCGTTCGGAACCCCTCTGAGCCTCGCTGTTCCCACCTGTA